CCCACCGGTGGCGAATGCCATGTAAGTAAGCAGGTACGCAAGTATCACCCATGTTGAGCTGGTGAAGTTGTTGAACTCTTTCGAAATGGCAAGGAGTGGGATGGAGACAATGCAAGTGTCCACGGTCGAGAAAAGAAACCCCAGCAGAAGGCTGACGTATGTTAGTGTTGCTCGATGACAGCTTGGACATATGGCCTCTTCTATCGACATACCAACAAACAAGGACTGTCTGACGCACTTTGCTGAGAGGCTGCCCGGGATGTAAAAGAGGGCCAAGGTCTTTATCCCTTCCCACCCGACCGAGGCGTACGAAGCTCAGATCAGCGATATCTCCGAGGGTATGATTGGGGTATGAGAGCTGGCTGGTCGACAAACGGCGCCCGAAGGTCTGATGCGAGGTTTCCATCGTCGCAAGCGCTGACCGAATGTCGAATGATCTTGGATGGAGATTTTGAACTGTATGAGGAAGAGACCGCGAGGAAAGGTGAAGAATTGTCGGTGTTTCTTCCTGCAGAGGGCAGTGTGGTGGAGGGGCAGAGAGGACCAAAATCAGCCAGACAGAACAAGAGTAAGATACGTGTACCAAGAGAAGACAAGGCAGGTAGATGTGGGCAGAATCGGTAATCGAGCGGCCGGCAGGAGTTCTCGCGAACAGCACCTGAGATAGGTAAGGTAGGCAGGTCTGGGCATATGGTCGATCAGCGCAACAACTGCCTTCTGCTGGAGGTGGGATCAGGAGCAACGCCAGTTGCAATCGCCAAATCTGTCGCCTCTGTCGAAGTGTTTGCTACCGATTCAGGAATTTTGGCAGAGATACGTGTGTGCTTGCCTCCGGGAGTCCCGTCGATCGATGAGAGCCCTCCTTAGGTATGCTGGTCGTGGTACCAGGGTGACAGCTGACCTTTAAGGACTTGGACGACAATGCTACTCCAGGCCTCTTGTCCTGTCAGTAAAATGACAACTAAATACTTGAACCCGTTCCTTGGAAAATAAATCCTCGGGTAATGATGGTGCATCTAGATGCTTCATTACAAATTATCGGCTACGCATATGCAGTTCGCAAAGACATGGGCAGGGGAGCTATGACAGCCGTTATCCACTAGAGCCAGCCGTGAATACTCTTTTCTCTACTGGAAGAAGATGACCCAGAGAGTGGATTTCATTCTGTGTGAAACTAAATTGCCGAGACAAAGAAGAATACGTCGAAGAGAAGACACTGGTGGTCGCAAGCAGACATGTCTTCGAAGGAACCGGGAACGTCGATGAGATCTTCTCTGACAGTCGCACACAGTAAAGACACGGCGAGAAAGGAGCCGGGATTTGTGTTATGAAGCAAGTGGGAACATCAGATACAGTAAGAGGTCCATCATAGATTGCAGATGTGAAACGTCCCTGAATTGCTTGAATGGCATTTTGTCTGGGGGGGATACCCCTCTCAACACTGCGATGGGGCGACAAATCAAGGCTGTGGACCAGCTGTCCCGCGAGGTCAATTGAGACCTTCGGTAGCTCTAATGAAGTACGAAACTGAAACATGAGTGGGTGGGATTCATGATCAGAATAAGGAGAAAGCTTTTCAAGGTCGGTGTAGGGGCGTGAGTGGACGTGTTGCCTATCAGGCGCTTCGACATTCACTCCTGAAGCGTCGAAACATCGCCGAATCAGCCTGTGAGATGATAAACCTGTCGAGAAAGAAAATTCTGGGCGTAAAGAAGCCAGTCGCGGCTTGACAGAGAGCCTTGTACTAGGCTGGATGAGCGGCGCGGTCGGACCAAGACGCCCCTGAGCCGGTTCCTTGGCAGGTGCAATTGGTCGAGTAAGACGGATACATGCAGCATGCCGAGGATTGTGATCGCTGAGCGTATAGAGTTCTATGAACCTTGCAGAAATATAGCATGCAATCGCTTGTGAAGCAGTCGTGGTGGGCACAATGCTCTGGAAGAGGAGGCATCTAGCACGTGCATCAGCAATGTTGCATCATCGGCTCATTTCCCGGATGACTTCCAGCAAAAAAGGGTTTGTCGTATCAATCATCTTGTCAACTATGGGGTCAAAAGGTTGAAAAGATCTTCTCCAGAGTGGACCGGAGATGACAAGGTCAGTAAACTTGCGTGACGCAAACTGCTCGTAGCACAGCTTGTCTCGTAGATGAGCGTCATCAGGCAAGACGAGGTGATAACTTGATTTGTCTCCTTTGCTATCAGAGGCAAACCCTCGGTCGTGGGGATCGCGCCATCCTTCCGCACCTTGCCAAAATTCAGCTTGCATCGTGTCGTAGGCGAATGGCATCCGGTGTTACACGCATTCCAGGTCGGCTACTACCGAGGCCATTGTGGCGGCCTGGCATTGTCACTGCTGGATGCCGTCCTCGCATCACGGCGAGTCACTCAACGCTTGGGAAACGACTTTCGAACCGAATAATGCTGAGATTCATTGACTCCGACAGGTGGCAGAGCACTGGTCTTCATCTCCAGGCGTCGGATTCGTGGTTGATGCGAACGAGGATTGCTTGACTACCAGTACTGGTCGGCAGCAGTAAGACTGGGGCTAGGGCAGGCATAGACGAGGAACGTCAATATTTCAGCGCGGACCCCAGAGACGAGTTCATCCGCCCAGCACGTGGGGTCCAACTGCCGACGATATCTCGTACTTTCCTGGCCATGTTTCGGGTGGCCTCTCATGCCCCTAGACGATGCTGTTTCCACGAACTCGCAGTCTTCAAAACAGTCAACCAGGTCTGGCCAAGCCATCTCTGATAGTACGACAACGTGAATGAATTTCGTGTTCAATTGTTTGCTTCCATATTCACCAGTGGATGAATCCGCAAGTCCACGCCGCCTAGCTTGATACTGTTCTTTCACAGTCCTGACTAACGGATTGAGGTGCCACGCTAGTACCCAATTGAAATGTGAAGGTACGGACAGTTCAGCCATGGATGTTACTTTGATATCAATCTCTTCAGCCTTTGTTGTGAGCGTGTCTCTTGGAAGCCCTGTTGCGCGTTCATCTTCCGATACAAAACGCTACCTGTTTGCAGTCGGTTTGATCTGTGATTTGCAGCTGGTACAACGCTTCGACTTGTGCCTGCCAACCTGAGGTATAGGGAGACTACACTTGTGCTCCACCGCAAATACTTTTGCTCGATACCAATCCAAAGGTTTGGTACCAGTCATTCAAGAGGCCAAGTGAGCTGGTCTCTGCGAAACCGATGCACATCAAGGCATTCGTCCGGTTCAGGTTGACATCCGGCCTGGCGGGTGCCTGCAGCATCGACTGGCTGCCCAGGCGTATCAATGTGCGCCCTCACACGCACCGACGGCGTCCCACATACTTCAAATGGGCGTAGATCGTTGATCTGAAAAAGCTTTCGACGTCAGAACGCAATTGCCCGAAAGCTTTTGTCCGGATTCCTAGGCTGGAAGTTAAGGAATATCTCTGTCATGTCCCAAAGGCACAGGTCCTACCAATGATCTCCCGGATTATAGGCCGCGTATGGCCCGAATACGTGGTCCCGGATCTCACTGGGGGACGTCAACCATGAATATCGATCGACAGTCCATAGAAGGCACGTCAACAAAATCGCAGGAGGCAACCCAGCTCGCCACATGCTCTGTCACTACAATGTCAAATTTCATTTTGCGAGGGGGTGATATAGAGTTCTAGGATCAGAATGGTTGTGTGTTTGTTCGCAACCGTTAACATCGCCACACCTCTCGAGATTACTAACTTTGAAAGCTCACTGCCTTGAGGAGGTAAGTGGGGACCCATGAAGCGCCTCCACCCGCGAGTATAACACGGAGCTTATGCGTGTTGGGAATCCCTCAAAGATGCCTCTGCCAATGCAAAATATAGATATATACAACAAAAGCTAGGGAGTTTGACATCGCTCGGTGGATTATCATGTCAGTGACCGTTGTAGTGGCAGTTTACCCCCTTTGTTAACACCACATTCTTTACAGAGCCGGTTATGTTTGATGCTCGACTTGCGTCATGATATTCTACTAGAATTGGAGATCGCACAGTCTGGTCGTCAATCTCGATGCTCCAAAATTTATTGTTGAACTTTGAGTGCATCATTGTCTGTTGATCGATTAAGCAGGTACATCTGATGAAATCGAATCATCGTTACCGAACGCCCAACTGGGTCTATGTGCCCATACCCATGCCACAGCGTATTGAGGATCTGCTTTTTGAACATAATTCACTGTAGGGAAAGGAAGGCACGTCGCATTCACTGGGTACCTACTTACGCGTCCTTTGCTTCGAGGAAGGTACGGCATCATTACAGCAACGCATACCCTATAATACGTCAACGACTGCCTTCAATCATTGATGCAGGATCTATTCTACCTTTTGGCAAATCACTGTCCTGCATTGATACGAAAACCCCAAAGGCAGTTGCAAGACTTTCTGAACACAGTGAGTGGAATTATTCCAGAGCCATATCCCCCGAACTTCTGGGCGTGTCACCTGTCGGTTACTTATCCAACCTCTTGATCCCATCAGCCAACGCCCGGCGGCCGCATTCAGTCCGTCTTGTTGTTCTGCGCGTTGGTGCTTTTTGAATCATCCATCCCTTCGCGCCGTCGCTCTTTCATATCGCCCATTCCATATCGTCATCAAAGCTTGCTGCTTGCTGGCTCAGCGGATCACTGCGAGGTAGCTGGATTTCGGACTACTTTTCATGTCCTTCCAAAAGAATCACAAGCCAAGGGTCTACAAGGCACCATGGAGGACGATCAGTGCTCCAAAGATGCTGGAGAGGGCATCGCCGTGATCGGCATGAGCTGTCGATTCCCCGGCACAGCAACTTCGCCGCAAGGGTTGTGGGAGATGATGAAGAACAAGAATACAGCTTGGTCTGAGATACCGCCTGATCGAGTGAACATAGACGGTTTCTATCACCCCGATGGTCAAAGACAAGGCGGCGTAAGTACTATTCAGCACTCATAACACCAAGCCAAGGTTGACCTCAAGACCCTTCAGATTTCATTTCGAGGCGCCCACTTTCTTTTGCAAGATCTTGCTAGATTTGATGCTGCAGTAAGTAGACCAAGTCACATTTACACATGAAATGGCTGAAAGAGTCTTTAGTTCTTCTCAGTGACCGAGGAAGAAGCCAAAGCCATGGACCCACAGCAGCGTCTGCTGCTTGAAACTTCGTATGAGGCTATCGAGAATGGTACGTAGCCACTTGTTGAGGATAAACCTCTTGGGGCTGTATAAAGACTGACTTCGTTGACTATAGCTGGGCTGCGGATCGAAGATCTCAGGGGATCCAATACTTCCGTTTTTGTGGGCTCATTCGTCAAAGGTATGCTCACAAAGTAAGGTTATCTGTGACCGCGTGACTGATCTCCAAACTTCAAGATTATGAGCAGGTTTCCCTCAGAGACGCCCACTACCAGCCACGATATGCTGCTACTGGTACCGGCAATGCAATATTGGCCAATCGAATCTCTTACTTCTACGATCTGCAGGGGCCCAGCATGACCATCGATACAGGTTGCAGTGGCAGTCTTGTGGCAATCCATCAGGCGTGTGAGACCTTGCGCCACGGGGAAAGCTCGATTGTATGCGCGGTCATGATAACTTAGTCCCATATCACAAGCTAACAAATACAGGCGTTTGCTGCGGGCGCTGGAGTCATCCTGACACCCAACACCATGATGCCCATGACCGCTCTGAACTTTCTGAGCCCGGACGGAAGGTCTTTCAGCTTTGATGCCCGGGCCAACGGATACGGTCGCGGGGAGGGTGTTGGCTTTGTCATACTCAAACGACTGACAGATGCTCTGAGAGATCAAGACCCCATTCGTGCTATCATCCGTGGTACGGGTATCTGCCAGGATGGCCGAACTCCTGGTAAGCTCCGAATGATACCCTATCTTGTCTGTCGTCGATGTTCTTACTGACGCCAATGTGCCGCTAGGCATTGTCTTCCCGAGCACCAAAGCCCAGGTTTCAAATATCACAAGTGTTTACCATAAGGCTGGCTTGTGCTTTGATCAAACGGCGTATGTGGAATGTCATGGCACTGGTACCAGAGCTGGTGATTTTGTTGAGCTCAGTGCAGTTGCGGCGACTCTTGCAGCCGCTCGCTCCCAAGATTCTCCAGTCATTGTCGGCTCGGTGAAGCCAAACATTGGACATCTCGAAGGTGCTGCGGGAGTTGCTGGACTCATCAAGAGCGTCCTTGTGCTTGAGAAGGGCGAGATACCTCCGCAAGCCAACTTTATGACTGGGAATCCCAGGGTCAATTTCCAGGAATGCAGGCTCAAGGTTAGCAGAAATCTCCATCAAACTGGGTACCGAATACTCATTGACAATGCATATAGGTCCCCACAGACTTATGTCAGTGGCCTCTTCCTGGCCTCCGGCGTGTCAGCATCAACTGTTTCGGCTTCGGCGGCACCAATGCACACGCTATTCTGGACGAAGCAGAATTTCATGTCAAAAGGCATAGTCCTCCTCACATCGGCAGGCTGGCAACTTTGGCAGAGGCAGAGAAAATAGTGGTCGAAGACGATTCTTCGACACCTTGGCCCCAGCTGTTCACCTTTACCTCACCCGACCAACAAGGCGTGGTCCGCATCATGCACCAATATGCGGACCACATTTGGGATACCCTTGATTTCAAGACGACTGAAGACCTCAACAACCTCTCCTACACTCTCAACTGCCGACGCTCGCAGTTTGACTGGAAAGGCTACGTTGTCGCTAACACGCAGGAGGAACTGGCTGAGACCCTCGGCTCGACAGACGTGGACACGGTTGTGCGATCCAAGACTCGACCTCATCCCAAGATTGCATTCCTTTTCTGCGGACAGGGCGCCCAGTTCCCAGGAATGGGATCGGAGCTCTGTGATCGATTTGAAGTATTCCGCAGCAGTCTTGAAGCAGCGACTGAGTACCTTCTGAAAACACCTTGGCAGCCAGTTCAACCTCATGACTGAGGTTTTGAAAATCCAACACGAATCAGTTATCCACAAACCTTCCATCAGCCAGCCAGCCACAACAGCGATCCAGATGGGTATCGTGGATCTCATGAAAGCATACAATGTGCACCCATCATCGGCGGTGGGACACTCGTCCGGCGAAATCGCCGCGGCCTATGCTTGTGGAATGATTAGCCGCGAGGACGCATGGACCATAGCGTTCTATCGAGGAGCATGCGCTGAACAGATGAGCATACGACTTTCAGGGCCCAGATTCCAAGGCCTCATGTGTGCTGTCAGCATGTCCGAAGACGATATGCGGAGCTACCTTTTCTGCGAGGGTGTCTCCGATACAATCCAAGTGGCCTGCATCAATAGCCCCAAATCTGTGACCATCTCCGGTGACGCGAGCGGGATACGACTCATAGCCGTTGAGCTCAAGGAAAGGGATGTTTACCATCGAATTCTCGACATTCCGGTGGCCTATCACTCTTACCATATGAAGTACGTTGACTCAGAGTATAAAGCCTGTTTGCAGGATCTACCCATGGACTTTTGTCCTGGCATTGCCCCGATGTTCTCCTCCGTCACTGGCAGTCGTATGGAACTTGGCGTCCAGTCTTCTAGATATTGGACTGATAACCTCACCTCTCCTGTGCTCTTCTCTGATGCTATGAAGATCATGCTTCAAGAATCGCGCCCAGATGTACTTCTGGAGTTTGGGCCTCAGGGTACCTTGAGGACGTCTATTACAGATATTCTTGATGACATGTTCGCCGGTCGACGGGTTAACCTAGCCCCAAGATACGTGTCCGCCGTGGCACGCGGCAACAACGAGGCCTGTTCCGTGCTGTCAGCCCTTGGGGCACTTTGGTCGCAAGGCTGTAATGTAGACATGCAAGGCATGGTCAGGAAGTGAGTCGACTGCCACGCGTTTTATATCGTTCTCAGAAGCTGACCAGACATATGTACAGGACTTTTGTTCCTTTGAAGACTCTACCTGACCTTCCATCTTATCCCTGGGACCACTCTAGACAGTACTGGCACGAATCACCAATGAGTAGAGAATACCGATCGCGTAGTCACGGTCGCCAGGACCTTCTCGGCGAACCGACAGCCGACTCGATACCCATGGAACCGCGGTGGCGGGGTTTCTTGCGCGTGTACGAGAGTCCTTGGATCAGGGACCACCAAGTACAAAGGACCATGATCTACCCAGCCGCCGGTATCATTACAATGGTCATCGAGGGGATCCGACAACACACATCGGACAAAGCGGACAAGATTGCCGGCTTTGAGATCATCGACATGGTTATCGAAGCGCCGCTGATTGTTCCCGAAAGCCGATATGGTCTCGAGACGAGCTTGAATGCAAAGCAGCTTTTCCAAGAATGGCATCATTCCGGTGGCATGTCCTTCTCATGGACAATATACGCCAGAGCTGAAGGAAGACCCTGGGCTCGACACGCTTGGGGCGAGGTGCAATGCCACATGCAGGCAATGCCTGGTGCTGAGTCTGACCAAACACCAGCGTTCAGCTGCGAGCATATGTTCAAAGCCGCTGAACTAAAGTCAACTGAGGTCGTGAGTCCATTGCATATGTACCAGGCGCTCGAAGTTGTGGGCATGAACTACGGTCCATCATTCCGTAATATCACCTCTGTGTCCCGAGGTGAAAACGTCGCAGTGGGACAGGTCACAATTCCTGACACAAAGTTCATCATGCCGCACAAATTTGAATTCGATCATATATTGCACCCGGCAACTCTTGATGCGATGTTTCAGTTGCTGTTGGCAATTGACACAGCGCCAATGGTACCTACCAGAATCGATAGCATCTACGTCTCAACGCAAATACCCAAGGACCCAGGAACACGACTCGACGGATTCGCAAACATTACTTCAACCAGCGTGAAGGGCGTTAGCGCACAGCTTGCGATGACAGTCCAAAACTGGGATCAACCTGCCGTCGTTATCGAAGGTCTTCATTTGAATGCGCTGCCGCAGACTAATTTCTTGCCTGGTCATCACAATCTGTGCACTGAGATTCGGTGGATGGAGTTCTTCGGCACAGCGAAACCCTCTCAATTTTCGCATCTCCTTCAGCTTGTGGCTCACCAGTACGCCGGTCTGTCAATTTTGCAACATGGAGGCAACTACGACATGGCCAAACATGTACTCGACATGGTGGCCTCTGGCGATGATCACGTCCCCCGCCTTTTGCGATACTCTTTGACAGGTCTAGACCAAGAAGTCCTTGTGGCCCTCAAGAACGCGTATAGCGGCTCTCCTATCAACAATCTTTTAGAGCGCCGTGCACTCAGCGGCAACGTGGAGGCTGATCCAAGATACCACCTCATCATCTCGTCCTCTCGCAACAGCGACCGAGATCATTGCTGGCGCTGCTGCACCCAGATGGACTCCTGCTTGAGACAAGGCCACATGATTCTTCTCCGAAGGGCAATTGTGACCCTCAACACGTCACCATGCCATACTCTCAGGATGGAAACTATGTATCTGAGCAGCTGTCGCTGACTCGAGCACATCGGAAGATCAACGATCGCTGCTGGATATCTCATTATCGTGCCCAATGCCCCAGATAGAAACCTCCAATATCTGGCGAGTGCTCGAGCTAAGCTCTGTCAAGTCAACTCAAGCTTAAGCCTGTATCTCAACTCTGAAGAAGCCTGCTTACGCGACTCTGTTGAAGCAATGCAGACCACAATGATCTGCCTCTTAGATCTGAACCACTCAACCGAGAGTTCGTCCTCTTTCGTATGGAATTGGACTGAGGAGAAATTCCACGCATTTAGGAAGATGCGTGCTCTGTCGAAAGCAATGCTTGGGTGACCCGTGGGGCCGACAAGAAGTCAACATTACCCAAGAACGCGCCCATAATTGGCCTGGCTCGTACTTTAAACTCGGAGGACCTTGAAAAACTCATGGTAACGCTGGACTTGGACAATGACAGCTGGATTGCCTCTCCAAGCGTCATTGACAATATCGTCCAGGTACATTTGCGTTCCATCCTACAAGTCCCCGCAGACGGCGTGGTTAGGGAAACAGAGTATGCCGAATCGAGCGGCAAATTATTCATACCGCGTCTTGTGCCTATCACGTCCCTGAATGCCCTCATCAGGGATAAGAATCTGGACATGCATCCGCGCATGATGCAATTCTTCGATGGCCATCGCAACGAGTTGACAATCAAAAAGGTGACGGAAGAACGTAGCGATCCTTGCTCAAACTTCTGCTTCAGAAGAGCTTGCCCCCCCTGCAACCCGACTTGCGGCGCAGACAAGGTTCGGATTATGTATCGTGCATCATTCCTCCAGCACCATGATTGGCAGACACTAGCCGGACTCACCAAGGATGACACGATCGGTATTGATTTGGCGGGCATCGTTCTTACCGTTGGCGATTCTGTTCACAACATCAGGCCCGGTGATCAGGTCGTGGCTGTCGTTCCAAGAGGCGCCTTGAAGAGTGTACAGGATATTGATCAGCGATTCGTCAAACGAGTTCCTTGCGGCCTTCGAAAGTGCATTCCAAGTGCCTGGATTCAGGCCTACTATGGTCTCGTCACGCGATGCGCCATCACCAGTGACCAAACCGTTCTGATTCTTCACGGAACCAGTGCTACTGGGCAGGCTGCTATCCAGATCACGCAAGCCTTGGGCGCAAAGGTCTACACAACCATCAGTGGCAACGATCTACAAGTTCAACGCAGAGAACTGTCTCAGCACTTCAGCCTCGACGCCGATCGCGTTTATAACTCTGATGATTCGGACTGGTGCTCAAAGGTGCTCCGAA